GCTGTAATCTGTCCTTCCCTACTAGCATGCCCACCTCACCCCAGATCTTGGTATCATCAGCAAATTTGAACAGGCTGCTTTTCACCCTATCATCCAAGTCACTAATAAAGAAATTGAACAGTGTGGGCCCATTAGCAGCAGATCTGCTCCTGCTTCCCTGCTTGTGTAGACACCTGCCCAGGAGCCTTTATCCGCGAGTAGTTTACTTGCAAGTAAACTACTCCAAGATCAAACGTATGTGTAGACACACCCACTGAGAAGTCCTGCCCTATGTTAATGCCTTCACAATCTGAGGCAAGATATTTTGTGGGTTGTTTTTTATTGGACCAGTTACCTAGTAGAGAGGAACACAGATAAGCTTTCAGATACCATGGTATTCTTCCTCAGGTTTCACAATGAAAATCCTTCCCTCCATTTTTCCTGGACCATCGTATCTAAAACATCAACCCAAGGCTTTTACAGTCTGAAAAATTCCTTTCCTTTCAATAGTAGAAGTGGTACTCTTGGGGTAGAACTTCTCAACTAGTAGATGATAGATGGTTTTCAGGCAACAGAAAGCAAGCAATAGTTTGGTTTCTGGGGCAAACCTGACATCATGAAACCAGTTCCATAATTTTTGTATTGGAACTACTTAATTTTTTAAGTAATTGTTAAATAAGATCCAAGTTGGACACACAATCCTGTGGAATGCAAGAAAAAGAAAATATAATTTTGTCCCAGTAAACTTAAAAAAAATGAGTTGTTTTTTTTAGATGGCATGGTAATAAGGGGGTCTTTGCATATTTTTGTTTATTAGAGCAAAATAAAATTGCATGTGTTTAAGGTTCTGGGGAGAAATAAATGGAAGAAACATGATCAGAGAGTACAGATGAATGTAGTTATTGATTAGTTAGTTATTGGTGACTAATCGTGCGCGTGTGTGTGTGTGTGTATGTATATAGACATCCACATGTCATGACTACAGTCGTTCTAGCATTATTCACTTTTTTTGTTTTGACCTTTATTTTATAGACCAGTACATGGGCTGATCTTCCTTTTCAAGTGGCAGCCAGGAGAAGAACCAGCAGGCTCTGTTGTTCAGGATTCCAGATTGGATACAATATTTTTTGCTAAGCAGGTACAATCAGTTCCTTAAATGTGCCATGAAGCAGAATTTTTAAATTCAGTGATATTACTGTTAAAATGTTCTCAGAATTAAGCAGCTGTTAAAGGATAAGTAAAGACGGACCAAAATCATGATTTTTGCAATTTTTGCAGAAACCATGATTTTAGGCAGGCTCTGCAAAAAAAGTGTGGGTTCCTTTCTTGCTTTTGGCAAGCTCCCTGAAACAAAAAAATCACCAAAAATAAAATGCTGCTGCTCTGGGGAGCCAGCAAACCTTGTGGTCACTGCAGCCTGGCCACGTAGCCCACCAAGGGGAAGGGTGGTGGAAGGCTGCTGGCATGGCAGGTTGGTTGCCTTCACCACTGATTAGTGGTGAGGAGCGGGATTACATGACAGACAGTCCTTGGAGCCAGTTGGTGGGGAAAGGTGAGGTCATGCTGATCGCCCTTGTAGCCAATCAGCAGCAAGGGGCATGACTGCTGAGGCCCCAAGACCAGTGAGTGGCATGGGGTTGGGGGGCAAAAATGGCTGCCAGCCCTGGGGTTTGTCTGCAAAATTGGCCAGCAGCTGTCTCAACTTCGATAGGCTACTAAAGATGAGCAATTGTAGAGCTATCCAGGTGGTAGGCATCCCGTATTAGAGTAAGAGCTGGCAAAGTAGCCCCGTTTGGTATGCTGAGTTAGACCAAATCCATATGAACCAAACAGAATTGAAATTCTGTGGGGAAGGCTGCTGCAAAATAAACGTGAATGATGATTTCCTTTTAGTGTCAGCAAGTTTTATGTGGTAGGTGTTTTGTTTAGTCTAATGAGTAAATGACATTTTGAAACCACTTTCAACAAAATATTATGGGAGAAATGTTTCCTCAACCAGTAGATACATTGTCACCACTTCTCAAATGTTCATCACTGGAAACATTTTCATCCTAGATCAATATTTATCAGTTTTTTGTCAAATCTGATCTGAAAATTTCAGTAACTTTATCTAAATATAAAATGTGAAAAATCTGAAATGGAAGTTAAAGCAAATTTTTTTTATGCAAAAAGAAGTCATCTTCTTTCATTAACAACTATCCTGCCTTAATACTGAAGTGTCCCATATTTTAGCTGTGGCTGGCTGGTGAGTGTATAGCTAGCAAGTTAAAGAAATAAAGGAGAATAACCTGATCAAATGTAAGCTTACTGCCACAAGAAGGGAGGTTAGTAAGACTTTAAGCTTAAAGATATTTCTCAAGCACTAATAAGCATTACTAAATTTATGAGGTCTGTATTCTTCCCACTCAGTGTTCTTTCTGTCTCTCTCTCCTCATAAAGTACGTGAATCAGAAGTACAGATTCTTGAAACAGAACTTACAGAAAATGCTTTATGCAACAGAACTGGTTTTTGTATTTTTGTCACAGATTTAGACAGTGCATCACTCTGAGGTTTTGATGATTGGGAGGTTTTTTTACTTGGGCCTAGTCACAAGTAGATAAGTGGAAAATAAAAGCTTTCCGAATGTCTCCATTATGTCTCATGGCTCTTCCACACACACATTTCTTTATGTTGATAACTTCAGTTTATCTGTCCACTTTATTTCCCTACTATCTCACTCTGGTCTAAGAGTCCTTCTACCTCTTT